CCAGAGATTGGGCTTAGCTAAAGTAACAAGGTGAACAAGGTAAGGCTGCTTGTCCACTTAAAAGTAGGACGACTGGTCCCTCATATATAAAACCTGTGTGATACTTCTTGGATCTTTGAAGTATTCACTGTGGATGAAGTCCTGTTTCGTCTTTCTTCTAAGCATTCACGTCATATAATCTATTGATTTATTGAAAGTTGTCATGTGGATTCTGCCCCTGCAGAATTTCATGGAAGCGATTAATGCCACTTGGCACTAAGCCTTGTACAAGGAAGGCAGATTTTTTGACATGCATCCTATTACTTAAAGTAGAAGTCAGAATACCTGACATGATTAATTTCACAGAGCAATAAGCTTAAAAAATAAATAGGTCAGGACACATTCAGTGTTGTATCAGAGAAACTATTATCAGGCTTAGCTTTATGTAGAATCTTTCCTTACTTGAGAGATGAGATAATATACACTGTGTATTATATCTCTGGTTTGCTGAGATGGAGAATATGGGGAAAAAAAAGAATGCACGGTAGGAAATGATAAGGAGGATTTAGAAGGGGTAGTAAAGTAGTCTAAAAGCAACAAAACGATATTCGTGTTGAAAAATAGATCCCAAAAGTATATCCATGGGAATAAGGATATTGGGAAATGCCAGTAATAAGGTGGGAGTGGTCATTGGGCAGTTTTCTGAGAGCCAAAGATGGTCTTTTTTTGATATTCTGAACTTTGTAGGCGGACAAATAGCATCTGGGAATAGCACTCCAGAATCTGATGACACATTTTTGCAAGATGTATTTTTGTTGCAGTTCTGTGTGATCACTTCAGCAGCAAAGAGGCCTGCAAAAGTAACTTGATACAATAGAGATATAAAACATTTATTGCTATGAGATAGTGCCCTAACCTGCACTTGTGCCAGCAAACAGAGGTATACAAATCCTAAAAAGAGGCAATGTTTGTTTATTAAGTGAAAGCATATGCTCAGTCGAGAGTGATATCATGAGAGGTCACTATCACAAATCATTCAGTGTTGTTGATGCCTCCTTTTTCACTTTGGGATCCACTCAAAGTTATTTTTATAGGTTTGCTAACACACTGTACACTCTCTTCATAAGGCCCAGTACACCTACATTTACCACATATGGTGTGTTTTATCTATGCCTTTGTTGCCTTTGATATCTCTAAGTTTGATATAACTGCATTTCTCTGATGCCCAGTAATTGCCATCTGTGAGTTGTTTATAGCCCTGGCGCCTCCAGCATTCTCCTGTCTGTGTTCTGAAGGCCCCTGCTGTCAGTTCTGCACTCCCATACTTTAATAAAATCATAGCTCAACCTATGCAAAACAATTGCTTATCATTGCTATATTGGCACAAAGCTATGTGGCAACAAATTTACACAACACAAATTCACAAAGCTTATAAAAAGCTAAAACAAGGTAGGTTAATGATCACTTATTTGCTTTATGCTTGTTGCTACAAGCTAAAACGAATGTCTAGGAAAGGTGAAGAGAAGTCTAGACAAAGCCCTGACAAGCCTTGAGTCCTGTCCCAGTAAATTAACACACAGCCTGTGGCCTAAGACAAAACACAGTGCAATTTCGAGGTTATAAGACTACAGATTTATGGGGAGGTAATTTCACAGGGAGAATAATTAAGTATTGGAAAAGTTTGGTCAGAGAGGTTGCGCAAGTTCCGTCCGTGGGGGTTTTCAAAACCTGGCTGGACAAAGCAAAGCCTTGAGCAACCTGGCCTAATCTTGCAGCTGGCCCTGCTCTGAGCAGGAGGTTGGACCTCCTGGAGTCCCTTTCAGCCTCAGTGATCCTGTGGTTCATGACACTACAAGAATACTGTTGGAGAAGGTAGTCATATTCTACTTTCTCGTCTGCTCTCTGCCCTCTCCTCTTCAAACTTGTTGATTATAAATGATCCACACCTACAATGTATTGCTATCTGCAGTATTCCCAAATATCCTCTTCCAGACCACCAAAGACTTTGAAGTTGCTTTAAAAGCCATTTCTATACAATTTTATATCTGCTTTGACCCATTAATCCCAGCTGAGTTCTAGCTGATTGACGCCAGTACAAGATAGAAACAGCACTGTCAGATGACGCGTTTCAGCCTTACCTAAAGAGCATCTTGGACTGGTTACCACATGTTATTCAAATTTCTACTCACCTCTTTCATAAATTTTTCAACTAAAACTACAGAACACAAAGAAGTGGAGCAGTGATCATTGACGCCATACTATTGCTTTGCAAGTAGCTGTTGAAAAATGTGAAGCACGCTTGTAAGAACCAAGTTGATGGTAGAGTTGACAGGTGACATGATACTGAGAGGGTTGATAGAGTACTTTGGATAACAGGGTTGGAATTCAATGGTTTTCATAAATGAAATAAATGATCTGGAGAAATGGTAACTGTAGAAGATATGATAGACATCTGTAGCATGCTCAGGATTACACAGCCATTGCCTATGCTCTGACAATTGAGGAATAAATAAAAGGCTTTATATTCTAATCTAAGTGATTTTGTGTGAGTTAAAGGTAGAGAGTCATACTGTCATTTTCTGTATCTTAGAATGAATCAGTTTATTAATGGAAATGAAATTGGCCTAGGAACATACAGTGGGGAAAAAAATGTACTGAGTTCTCATGTTTAGGGTCTGTAACACTGCTAAAAATTATAAGTAGCAATAACATCTAAATAGGTAACTCATTTAGATTGCTGATGGCAAGACTGCAGGGGGTATTAGATTTTTTTTTTTAGTGAAAATTAAATGTTAAAGGGTCTTATATCTTGATGTTCTTATAATGTTCAAATAAAGGTAATCCTAGTAGTGACAATAGTGCTTGTTACCATTCCTAAATGTGCTTATTTATATGATTAAGAGCAATAGATAGAAACGGAGTGAAATTTCAGAATGAAAACACGTATGGAACAGAGTTTAGCATTTGCAGATTACATGAGCATGCCAAAAGTATTAATTCTTCTGATGCAGCAGTGGGAGCAGATAAGTTTGTTCCACTGTTTCCTAGCCAGGTCAGTTTACTGACAGCCAAGGAAAGAATAGCCAGGATTACCTTCTGCCAGCAATCCCCAGCTCAGTGTACCAATGAATTGTAGTAGCTGCTACTTGAAAACGAAGTGGTTGCATTTGTCAAAAAATAATGAAAGAACACAAAATCCCTCAAAAAGACCAAGAGAAAGGTATAGGGTCCAAAATTTGCGATTCCAGAAGCATATATTTTGATGGCACATCTCTACTCAAAGCATAGACCCTCTGTTTAGCATTACACTTACAAAGCCAAAAGTCTTCCCCAAGAGTTTGGTGTGGCTAATTAATGATAGATGCAATGAGTAAGCTGAGATTGCAATAAAAACAAAAACAATAAAACAGTGATGTATCAGTGTTTAATGAGCAAATCATCCAGTAAGCACAACAGCTTCTTTACTTACAAAATTACCACTAGTAGAAAAGATTTAAGTTCAGCTTGAGTAATTCACCTTCAGATTACTCTCAAATGAATCTCTAACCAAGAAGCTTACTGACTTTGTTGGCAGATGACATTACTAACTGCAGAAGATGAGCATCTGTGTGATGCAGTCACAAAATTTAACAAGTCCCAGGTTTAGATTCTGAATAATATCATTCTTTGATAAACAGCCACTGTTTCTTCAAACCCAGCTGTCCTTGGCATATCAAACCTGTCACGGGTTCCTACAGCTGTGTATATGTTATTATAACACACAACATACATTCTCAGTGACACATGTCAAACCACGTATCTGAAATAATTTTCATATTTGATGATAAACTTATATTATTGTGCATCATACATTGTTTTGAGAATAAACTTCTATTTCCAGAATTGATGTAAGGTTAAAGTTATGAAGTGAAATTCATATTTAAGCATGTAAAGAAAAATAGTCTAATTTTAAAGACCCCTGGTTGTGAACACTTAGATTTCAGAGGAATTACTGTGCATACTTGAAAATCAATCAGAATCTGCTAACATGTTCCCCTAAAAACACTGGAACCTAATCTTGAGTAGCTAGATGAGGAAGAGTTGCCTTATGGCACAAAATTTAATTTAAAACAAAACAAAACCATTAAAATTCTTACATGTGAATGTAAATCTAATCAACACATTCATTAAATATCCAGAAATTCATGAAAACAGAAAGCACCCATTAGAAATATATATTCGCAAGTATGAATCCAATATACATAGTTCTGATTCAAGTTCCTAGCCTCTGAAATATTATCAACCCTTGTGTCATAGTGAAGGATCCTTATCTTTCAGAAGGAAAGCAATTACAGAAAAAAGTGCAGCAAAACCAGCTCAGGATGACTGTACTCCCAAGGACCAGAGGCTACAGAATAGCAGCAGCCCTCCTTCCTCAGCTCGAGTCTGTACTGGATAATAAGCTAGCCTACCTTGAACATTGTGTATATGCAGAGAAGAGTTTTAAGTACTGTAATGAAGATGGGGTTAAGAAAATGATGGAGAAAATCAGAAGTAATCAGATACCAGATATGGAAAGCATAAGAAAACAGTTTTCCAGTGGGAAGGAGTTAAACGTGGAGAGACTTAACGCGATTAGTGTTCCACAAGGACTGCTCTAAAAACAGAAAGTTGAATTATCAAAAGCAGGGTTAAATAAGGTAGGTGGACTGAGAAGCTTAGACCAGTCAGGCTTCCTGCCTGCAGTTACAGGTGGACTTCTCAGGAGGACTAAATACCTGGGTCAACATTTAGTAACACCCAGCCGGCAGCACGGCAGCGGTGTAGAATCACAGAAGTGTTAAGGCTGGAAACGCCCTCTAAGATCATGAAATCAAACCATCTTTCTTTCAACACGAAAAAAACTACGGGGGGCCGTTCCTGCCCGCGGGCCAATCAAACACCACAGAACCACCGATGGGGACGGTGATGGGGGAGGCGAGCTGTCACTCAACGTGGGGCGGGATCACCTCAGGGACTGCTGCGCGCGCGCATGCGCTCTTCCCACTTCAGACGTGCGGCCGTTGGCGCGTGCTGTTGCAGCACAGGGCCGTTGTGCTGCTGTGTGCGGGTTCGTGTCTGTGCTGTAGGTTGGACTCTCCTCCTTTCCCCCATCGGAGAGGAATGAGCGGGCACGCAGAGGTATGGCCGGCCCTCCTCCCTCTCCTCTCCAGCGCCTGAGGCCCGGAGTTGTGGCTCTTGCCTTGACCCTTTGAAATTGGTGGAAAAAATTGAAAGGAGCGGTGTCAGGCTCGCGTATGCAGGAGCTTTGGGAGCAACGTCCCAGCAGAAGCGCTGGGCGTTCAGACCTCTGTCGCTGTCTGTGTATACAAACGTGACCACTGACAACCATGCGGTTCATGCGGCCTGCCCTCCGCTGGCATGCTGTGTATGCGTTCAGGTGATGAGGAAGCCACGTGGGTCACAGCACTGTGAAGCAGCAGGTGGTCACCTTCAGTTGTGGTCCCTCTGTCGCTCTTTGCCAAGGAGCAGTGGGCAGTGGTGATATTATGGCATGCTGTGGTGCAGAACAGGCTTTTCATCCCGGCTCCAGTTTGCTTTCCTTTATTTTTGAGAGTGTTAGTGTATATGGTGGCATGCGTGCTCTCCAGTCCCCTTTTTATCAGCTGGCCTTTCATATCACAGAATCAGAGAATAGCCTGGGTTGAAAAGGACCACAGTGATCATCTAGTTTCAACCCACCTGCTATATGCAGGGTTGCCAACCACCAAACCCGGCTGCCCAGAGCCACATCCAGCCTGGCCTCGAATGCCTCCAGGGATGGGGCATCCAGAACCTCTTTGGACAACCTGTTCCAGTGCATCATCACAATGTGCAGACTGGAAACATAATTTTTACTTCTTATTGAACTTTTTTTTTCTGTTTCATTTGTAGGTTAAAGTGAAAATACCTTTTGGAAACAAACAACTTGATGCTATCTTTAATGTCCCAGAGAAGAAATTAAGATATGGAGTAATTCTTACCCATGGTGCTGGAGGAGATATGAATTTCCCTCAGTTAGTCTCTTTGGCAGCCTACCTTGCATCACAGGGAATTCTGTGCCTGCGGTTTACTTGTAAAGGCCTTAACATTGCTTATAGGACTAAAGCTTACAAAACAGTTGTGGTAAGAAATGACCAAATTCTGCCAAAGATCCATGGATGTAAAGAGTTTACACATATATTTAAATATATAAATATATTTACATTCTTTCTGATTCTGAGTTTCTTAAGTTACCAGGAGAAATTAGTCAAGTAACAATGAGAAGATGAGAAGTGATAGTTAGCTGGTACAGTTAGCTAAACGGAGCAGTGACAATGTGCAAAAAGAGCAGGGACAATTCTCATATGAGCTCAAGGAGAGAAAGACGAGCTTGAGAAAAGTATTTGAAGAGAGCGAAGATGTTCTGTGGGAAAAATGAAAAAAATTGATTAGGGTGGAAATGGGAGGTAGATATTACAGAAAGGTTTGGTTGAGGAGGAGAGTAAATGAAAATATATGGCTTTAGGAGAGGTGTTTCAGAGGAAGGAAGCTGAGCTGGGTATTCTGGATCTCTGAAGGTTTGGGAATGAGAGAAGACTTCAAGGAGACAGATGCAGGAGAATTTGAGGCGAGAGATTGGGTGTAGTTGAGCGTAGCATATGAAATCCCTAAAATCTAAGTAGTCTTTGATTTCCAAATCAATTTAAATTGTTACATGGCCATATTCATCTATTTCTGCTGCTACTACATTATTTAAAATGTTTTTCTATACCTAGATTTTGTTAAAAATGAACAGTATTTTGCTGTATTTATATCAGCCTAGAGTCTCTTGTTCTGGAGCGTGGAGGAGGGAGTGGAAATGCTCCCCTGATTATCTAGCTACTTTTGCTAGGGTGTAAGAAGGTAGCTTGGGCACTTTGTATCTGGCATCAGACACTTCCGTTGTAGAACTAAGTTCAATTAAGGAATTAATTTGCATGATGTCGTTGTAATTATATTACACAGTTACATGTTACCTTGAAGTTGGACTTTGCTAGCTTTAATGTGGGTCTGTTTTCTATTATTATTTTTGTGTGTGTGTGTGTGTAAACAAGGTGTTGTTGTTGAGTTTAATGCTGATGTGTAAAGGTAATTAAAGGACCTCTATTAAGATAACATCCAATTAGTTATCACTTGAAAACAGAAAAAATTGTTGCTTAATTTTTTCTGTTCTGACTGTATCTTAAATGTTTTTTTTTTTTTTTTTTGTTGGAAATATGTTAACTTAAGCCTCAGGGTTGGATATTTGTATTACCTCATTTTTTTTTTTGCATTTTGCTGGACTAAGAGTATGTAGGTAGGTAAGCTGATACACCTAATACTTGAATCACTTAACATTTTGGTAACTTGATGATGTGTCTGAAATTTGCTGAGAGCTGTTTGAAATCTTTTGCTGAGAGCTAGTGTGAAATTGCTTGTTATATTTTTACTGCAAAATATAATGAGGTGATTTTTATGGGGAAAAAAAAAAAAGTAACTTCTAATAACTGTTCCTTGCTTAATCTGCAGTGCTGAAAGTGCTTGCCATTTTTGTGTTTTAGTGTCTGCAAACAAACCAAAATGCTCAACCTCTTAGCTGTCTTAATTTTTACTGTAATATTTCTTTCCTGTCGCATTTTTTTTTTAGGAATACTTAAAGCTTTCTGATGATTATAAGCTTTCAGGTGTCTTCCTTGCAGGTATGGTTTTTGTTATCTGTAATTTTCTTGTATACTGACTGTAATGAAAATGATCTGTAATTCCTCCATTCTTGGAGTCTGTCCTGCCTTGGTAAGAAGTGAAAGAACAGAAGTGGGTGACAGTTTTCAGTTTTCAGGAGGCACTGAGAGCTCGGTGTCTAGCACAGGCGCAAGCTGAAAAAACTGCCTGGTCAGTATTGCTTAGGCAGAGCAGTTCAGCTAGGAGCATCTTCACTTCACACACTCATTCTTCAATTGAATGCTCTGTAATCTTTGTAAATTGACTACAAGTCCACTGATTGCAGTGGGGACACATATGCCAAGGTCATTTAGCAGTCTGGATTTTGGTGTCCTACAAGCTCTTTAACTGATGGATGAGCCCAGTGGGTGTACAGCTTAGCTTGTCTCACGGCTGCTTTGAACACTGTTTCTTGGATCACAGGTGGGAATATCTAGCATTATCCTTTTAAATAATTTTTTTTTTTTTAAGTGTGATCATCTATTCACTGTCCTCATGATACTGGAGATTTCTTAGAAGGATAAGGAAAAATTCAGAAGACTATGTTTTGCAGATAGTTTGGGAGAAAACTTGCTTATCTCTTGTAACTTGCAAGGCTGTTCTCTGATAGAACTCTGAGTTCTCTGATGATCCCCATGGACTTTCCTAATTAAACTTCTTGGAGAATCCTAGTTAACTGGTAAACAGCTGTTTTCCCAAAGCAGATTTTGATGTATAATTCTAGTGGCAGGTAGAATATCAACTACATTGTGTGATAAAAGGAAATAGATGGGGGTAACTAGGAATAACTTGATACTGGAAACTTAGAATGTTGTCCGACTAAGCGAAACCAAATCTGCCCTGATGCAAGTTAATCCCACTGGAATCGACCACTTCTGACACTCAATTATAGAGCATTGTCAGCTCGTATGCTGCTTCTTTGAGCAGATATTTTGATATCCACTCAATGTTATTAACTGACCTCATGTTTACAAGTTCATTCTTTATTTTTATTTTTTAATCCTTTTTGCATTTAAGTTGAAATTTGTTGTGTGCATAGACACTTGTTGGACTAGTTTTGGTAATAAGGAGAATAAAACTTTGTTTTGTTCTATGATATTTAAGGCTGTTTGAAAAAAATCAATGGAAGGTAATTGCATTGTTGTTTGAAATTCCAGGGGTCTGTAGCGTAGGACCTCTTTCTCTCCCTCTCCTCCACCAATAGGAAGGGTTGCTGTTCTTCTCAGTATTACAAAGGATCCCTGTCCATTTATCCTTTTTTTTTTTTTTAATTTCTTTTTAAAATGAAATCATACTACAACCAGACAATTGTCTTCAGCAGAAGTATGTTAAATTTATAATTTGTACTTTTCATAGAGTAGATAAGTATACCTAGCATTTTGTACTACCAGTTCACTAAAATACATTCATTTTGATTGGTTTTATAAGTTGTTAATACTGAGAATGCAGATGAGGTGATAGTGAATATACTTTTTTCCTTTATTTTAACATGGGAGAAAGGCCGTTCCATGGGTTCACGAGCTGCTGCCTCTGTGATACATCAGCTTAGCCAGGAAGGTAATAATGATGACTTCATTCAGGGTCTGGTTTGCTTATCGTACCCTTTGCATCGACCAAAACTGCAGTCCAAGCTCCGGGATGAAGATTTATTATTTATCAGGTGCCCGGTGCTGTTTGTCTCAGGATCAGCAGATGAGATGTGTGAAAAAGTGAGTATCCTTGTAAATCTCTCCGTGACAGGATAGTGTGGAAGAACAGGAATGAATCTGAGTGATGTTTGTAGTGATATCCACAGCTGTAACTTTGATTAGCAATCTTCTCTAAATATACATCTCTGATGGAAGATTTAGGTAGAAAACTTCATCAGATTTTGAGAAACCTGAGCTGATTTCTTTTAACTTTAGCATGTCTGGATCATGCTTGATCATCTGCTTTAGGAAACTTACCTTTTTGTAAATAAATAATTCTGATTTTAATGTTTTGTCCTTTTTTAGTATGATAGATTTTACAAATTAAGCTGCACGTGGAAGGGACAAGTAATTTCCTGTTCTATTTCCACCATTTCAAGTCACTGCAACTGAGTGCTGCTATTGTACTAATCTGCCTTAGTCACATTTTCATGACATTCTTCTAGCAAAGCAGTTCTACCCACAAGTCAGCCATTTATGATAGTATTTTTGTTGAGAACAGGCGTGTAGTGATCAGAATGCAGTGTTTTTCTGTCTTAATTTCTTGCAAGGTAAATATCTTTTGTTCTTGAATACTTCAGCTTGAATTTGGGACAGTGTGTAATGTACATGCAAAACCATTTTGTTTTTAAAAGCTGCCTGCTATGTTTTGCATAGGCTAAGTGAGGGATGAGTGCATTCTACAATTAATAGCAGCTAATTTTCTAAATTTCTCATTCTTATTTGCCCTGTAGCAATTGTTAGAAAGTGTGGCAAGCAAAATGAAAGCCCCTAAAAAAATCCATTGGATTGATAAGGCAAACCATGGGATGGCAGTTAAAGGCCGAACAGAAGATGATGTCATGGAAGAAATAAATGTACAAGTTTTTTCTTGGCTTAGAGAGAATATTGGACTGGAACACAAATGACTTGCAGTGGTTGAGTAATATCTTCAGTTGGCTTTTCCAAAATGCAACACATCAGCTGGAGATGCGTTTTTGAAAGCAAATGTTTTCCAAGGACTAAAATGTAAATATTTTTTTATGAATGTAAAAAATATACAAGACAATAAAGAACATTTTAAAGGAAAGATGGAAAATCTATCTGGACAGTACTGTTTTTAGTAACTCCATTTGAAAAGTATTTAATATTTAATGTTCTGCATTACCAAGTAAATATTGTTGGTGTCTTTTATATATTCAAATATTATTTTGATACCAAATCTTTTGATGCCTTTATCAGCTGAATTAATACCTGTGAGCTGAAATGGCTGGTTGGTCCTGAGAAAAGCATCTTGATGCTGTCTTCTGAGGTGGTTGTCTCAACCCCATTGCTAAGAGTTCCCCAAAACTCCTCTGGTTGTGCAGCATTCTTATGGCTTTCAGCTTGCTGCTACAGTGCGACTGGCTGTGAACTGTGTGAACTGGCAGTTCTAACCTGGAGGTTCTTACAGGCAGATGAAAGTTAAGCATGTGAATCAGCTATAATAGACTTCTATCACGGAATGCCTCAAGAATGCTGATATCCCAACAATAACATGCAGTAAGATGGTACATATCTGAATGTTTATAGCTGATTTCTAAAGGAACATAAAATAGCCTTACAGATTTGAAGGTGGCAATGTTACAGAGAAAATAAATCCTCACTTTTGATGGGGAAGTTGTGTTCAAACTTGAGAACTGGATGAATTTAAACTCGACTTTAGATCTGTCAGAACAGAATTTGGAGATGTGGTTGGTATGTTCATAAGTTGAGCTCCTTAATATCTGTGGAAAAACAGCTCCCTTGGCTATTTTCTGTAGGAGGGGTGCTCCAGCCCTCTGATCATCTTCGTGGTCCTCCAGCACTTGCTCCATGTCCTTATGTTGGGGACCCCAAAGCTGAATCTAAGTATCTATCTCCCATTCACCCCCTTCTATATCCTCTTCCAAGTGATGCAGGAGAGCATGTTATGGAGACTGTCATTAGACCCTAACATTTTGACCCTTTGGCTTTACCACAGTCTCTCTCTGCCCTTGCTCCATGTTGGGTCCCTCCCATGGGATGCCATACTTCCCAAACTGATCCTGAGTGGGTTTCCCACAGGCTGCAGCTCTCCAGGCACTGTTCCAACACAGCTCCATAGCATGGGGCCCACCCTGCAGGCATGGTCTGTGTCAGCATGTGTCCCCACAGATGGCAGCTCCTGCCCCATTGAAGGCTTCTCTCCATGGGCTGCAGTCTGAGGCTGCTCCTGTGGGGACTCTGGTTTATTTTTGCTAGTCAGTACTCCATATTACTACTTTTTTTTTTTTTTACATTGTGGAAGCATCTTTGAAAAATCATGGAACTTAATTTTTGGATCTAATATGCATGTAGTGTTCTAAAGGGCTGTATTTTTCCTTCAGATTAAAAAAATACATTACAAACCATACAGTCATTGTCTTTGGGAATATTGCTTCTCTCAGAAGGAACAAAATGGTAGACTGAGAAAGACCACTTTGGATACATACAGTGGGGAGTAGATTTGCAGGTTTCATCTGGATGTTTTTGCAGAACATATTTGTAACTAACCTCACTATACTGAATATTCTGTCTCAGTTTATTGAGAGTATCTACTTGAAAAGTATTTCAGAAGCGTAACAAATGGCTGTTATAAACATGGTTTTTATTTAAAAAAAATATAAAAATTATAGTGTTTTTTTTTGAACAAGGCTCCATCACTATTGCATGATAAAAAGGAAATAGGTGGTGACTGGTTTTCTTCCATATGTAGATCATGACAGAGTAAACTTCATAATATCCACTGAGGTTTTAATTAAATTTTTCCTTCTTTCCTTAAGAAGTGATTTTGAATGTAGGTAAATACTCAAAAAAAAAAAAAAACCCACAAAACTTTCTGTCAGAGTTCGTCTTTGGTCTGTAATCAAAAAAGAATAAACATTTTTCAGTTAATTGGAAACTCAAATTTCAATTGCGTAGTCCTGAAAATGCAGTAATAAATGTTTCTAAAACATTAACAGCCTGGAAACTGATAGATACTATGTGAATATCGAGCAATGATTGTTCCAGTCTGGTTGAATCTGAACTAAATACATTCAACACTGTATATTTAACAATTTATGTGTTGTACCTTTTTTCTGTGGCAAGTGCAAGGAAAAAGGTCATCCTCAGGCTGCTGCACTTTCTCCATGCCGTCTCTGATTTTTGGCTCGCTCACTTGCAAACTGGAGTATTCCTAAGTTTTAGAAAGAAAAGTGACATCAATTCATAAACTTACTACATTATATACTCAGTTGTAAATAATGCAACAGCTTGGCTGAATAATTCCACAAAAATTCCAGAGCTCCACAGTCTGTTACTCCATCCACACTGTGACACAAAAAGAGTAAGGAGATACATAACTGTTGACAGGAACCCCTTTGGGTGCCTCGCTGCAGTTTCAGTATCTTGGTGCTAATGCACAGATATTTTCAGCTGTGGCTCATGGAGTGTGTGTCTGATGTGGAATTCTTTGATCATTGTAAGCAACATATTATTGCAGATTACATCAAGATTTATAGGATCTGATTGCTTCTCTCACATCATGCCAAAGCTTAAGGAGCTTCGTAGGAAACAACTGCAAACAATGTTTATACACCAACTGAAGTTCTTAATTGTTGCTGCGTGCCTTATGGCTTCAAGTACTGCATTGGCCAATTTTCAGCAGCTGTGTTGTGTGAACTCTCTTTCTGGGATTTCTATTTTTGTAGTGGTAGCAGTTAAAAATATACTTACCTGGAAAAGTTTGAAATAGTAGCAAAAGATGTGATCTCCCATGAGATTGTTTCTTGCAAATTCTTGTCCAGATTTTGCAATCTTTTTTGCCTGTCAAAGATAACAAAGGTTTTTCTTTTCTTGTTTTTGTTTTTAAACAATTCTGTAAAAATAGTTCTTTCGGGGCTCTTGCATTGATTCCAGAGTCATGTATAGCGTTGGCAGTTTAGGGTAACTTATCATTGGTATTTATCTAATGTTTAAAAGTCCCTGCTCTGAATTGTCCATGAAATTATAAATGTAAATCTCTTACTGATGAATGGAAAGCATCAGAAATTTATGCATTCTTAACTTCATAAGTAAAGAAGTCTCCAAAATACAGTATAGTTTCCAAACTAAGTGCAGTATTGTGTACCTTTAAAAAGTACTTTTGTGCAGTTGATGACACTTACTCTGATGTCATTTCAGAAGGAAACGGTAGGGTTTTTAAAAAAAATAAATGCACTTTTACTTCCTTTATTTTGTCAACAAACATTGCTGAGTACTTCTAAACGTGTATTTTACCTCTTCATCATGCTCTTTTGCCCACTGTAGTTTTTCTAGTAGATCGCTCAGGTCACTTTTAAATGGAATGTAGTGTTTCCATGGCTGCAGCTCATTATAAAAATGCTCATAGTAGATGGAGTCTTGCTTTAGCACTACACTGTTTCCTGCTAGTAGGTAAGGCAATCTATATGCTGCCACTGTGCCATCAATATTAATTTGGTATTTGTACTGGAAAAAAAATGACCATATGTTATTAACAGACAAGACTCAAGTAGCTTGGTTAGAGTGTATTAATCTGAGGGCACTGGTATTACTGACTTGCCGAGATTGAGAAATGTAGGATTGGCTAGGCAAGCACCAGTTTTTAAGTAGCTTTTGTTATTTAGTTTGGAATTCATCACAGTGCAGGGTACACAGAGATGCCCTCTTCATCAGTTAAGTTCTCCAGAATTCTTGGACGCTCATCCTCGGATGTGAGGGTAGATGTGCCACTTCATCCACTGATTTTCCCACTATGTTAGTTATGTTAGTAGTCCTGATCGCTGAATCAGGAAAAAGAAATAAAAAGGAACTTGGAGTTATTAGATTACAAAAGGTTCTACAGAACCTTCAGATGTAAATCAAATATAATTATTTGCAATCTTAAGAGCTACACATCAGTTAATCCCAGTGGAGGGATGCTTATTCATGCTTGTCATTGGTGTTGTGCTGAAAAAATAAAATCATTGTATTATAACTAATATTTACAAAGTTATTTGATAATGGGAAACACTGAGAAACTAATTCTACAAAAATGATTACTGGCTTACCTTAAAAAAATCAAAAAATGAAATGTGCTTGACAATGGGGCCATAAAGGTTCTCATCGTGTTTAAAAAAAAAGAAGTTTGTGAAAGCAGCATCTATAATCTCTGGATATTTTCTACTGAGCTTTACAAGTTCAAGCCTCTCTTTGCGGCTGTCACGTCCTCTCCAGAATGCTGTGGTATTCTTGTCTTCCCATGATGGGCCAGTATTTGCTTGAACTGACATCATATCCAGACTGACTCTGAAGGAGAAATAAATGATTTAATGGTGATGCCTCTGGAATTATTTTACATGTGATTTTAATTTATTTAAGTGCAGTTACTTGAAATAACGTAGGAGTACTAATAGGTAAATACCAAACATTTAAATAAGTCGTAAGTACACCCATATGTGTATTGTATCAGTAATTCTTACAGTGATAAAAAAAAGGTAAGGAATGTTCATAGTTCAGAGTTCATAGAATCGTCATAGAATGGCCTGGGTTGAAAAGGATCACAATGATCATGTAGTTTCAACCCCCCTGCTATGTGCAGTGTTGCCAACCACCAGACCAGGCTGCCCAGAGCCACATCAGCCTGGCCTTGAATGCCTCCAGGGATGGGGCATCCACAGCCTCCTTGGACAACCTGTTCCAGTGTGTCACCACCCTTTGTGAGAAGAACTTCCTCCTAATATCTAACCTAAACCTCCCCTGTCTCAGTTTAAAACTATTCCCCCTTGTCCTATCACTATCCACCTATGTGTACAGTCGTTCCCCCTCCTGTTCTTATGCTCTCTTCAAGTACTGGAAGGCCACAGCGAGGTCTCCCTGGAGCCTTCTACTCTCCAAGCTAAACAAGCCCATTCCCTCAACCTTTCCTCATAGGAGAGGTGCTCCAGCCTTCTGAACATCTTAGTGGCCCTCCTCTGGACTTGTTTCAAGAGCTTGGCATCTTTCTTTTGCTGGGGGCCTGAAGCCTGGATGCCATACTCCAGATGGGGTCT